TTAATTCCATCTTTTCTGCGCAATCACCTGTTAATGATTGTTTTTTAGTTCATCAGTAATTGCCATATTTCCCGCTCCGTAGCTGGTTTAAACAATTACAAGAAAAGGTCCTTTTTCCCGCTTTTAGGCGTATTGGGAATATAGGGCTAGACCTATTTTTGTTTATAGACGAATCAGCAAATGGTGGGTGATGTCGTCAGCACCACGCCGGCCGCCTTTACTTCCCATGAATACACCTGGTACCCACTCAAGGCTGGGTCGATCTGAAAGTCAAAGTCATATTTAAAGGAAAAAAAGTCCGACTCCTTCAGGACGCGAACCCAAGAACTTCCAATCCGCAGGCTATCATTTAGCCGCCTACACCATGTCGATTACCCTCGGAGCTAATTTGAGGTTACTAATAGTTACAACAACAACAACAACAACAACAACAACAACAAATGCTTTTAGAGTTTAGCGAACTGGAGTTGACACTTTAATGATGTGGGTTCTAGGGCCCCATGAAGGGGAAAACAAGAACAGACCCAATAGCCTCCAACAAGATTGTCGGAGCACATCTGTCAGAGAGACAAGAAACCAACAAAATTCGTACAAATAAGGTAGATTTGTAAAACGAATGTGCACGCAACACTCTAATTCTGGAACAAGACTAACGTTCAGAGGCAGTTAGAAATTGTAAAGAGTAGTCTAACTGCGCTGCCCGGGCAAAAGGTGGAGTCAAAAATCTACCCAAAGAATTTAAGGATCCTCGCCGGCGCTACATAGTCAGTGCACTGTGCTGAGCTCAGACACTCAAGTTAGAAGAAGAACAGAGCACTTATGGGTAACTACTCGTGTGCCATGATGTTGATCCATTGTTCAAAACCACAAAACCTATGTAGCTAACCTTTTTTTTTTTTCTTTCTTAGAAGCAGCACGTTTTTAAAGACTGTTGAACGTTGAATTAGGAATCAACATCATAGCACCCGGGACACTCCGATAAACGCTCTGTCCCCATCTACACCATCAAGCGAAGATTTAAACAAACAAACAAATATTTCAAAAGAAAAAGAAAAGAAAAAGGACAACAGTACCATATGTGTCGACAGGACAACGTCAGCTTTGAAATGTTTCACAGGAGAAACATCACGTCAAATTCATTTTCATTACCAGAAATCAGAACACTTTCAAAGGAACATACAAGGAATTGTGGAGAGAACAAACTAACAGTAAACATCCACAAGACCCCATCAGCAAACTCAACAGAAAGCAGCTTACAACAATGTCCCGTATACGAACAGAACACTGCAGGTTCAACTTTCACATGCATAAAATAAAGATTGTACAGTCCCTACATCGTGTCTGTCAAACAGGACCAAAAAGACCTGAGCACATTCGGCAGACCTGCCAACTCTAACTACAACTTTGAAAAGACCCTGGCCTCAACCGCAAAGTGTGCAGAGAAAGCTATGGAAAACCATGAAGAACCTGCTGCTGACAGACGAGTTTATAGAGGCAACCCACCTGATGGTCTGATCTGAGCATACGAAACCGAACGCAAGAAGAAGAAGAAAAAGAAATCTTAGTTTCAGCTTCATAGCAAACGGGTCACCCAATGGTTGCTCCGCTCCTGTGCCAACGAAAAACGCAGAGTGTTTATCACAGTCCCTTGTGGAGAGATTGACAGACTGCTGTCTCAGCATATGTACTAGCATTCACACGCATTAAAAGCATACGGTAGCCATCAGAAGTGCTAACACAAACAGTCTGACATTAGAAATGCAGTTCATCATGGATGGTAGTAGAAGTCACCAAAAGATCAGCAGTTGCACACGCGATCAATTTTAATCACATAATGGCACCACCAGTATTGCGACAACAGACATCTGCAATTTTCTGAATCTACAATTCACACCACCACGTTGGGCATAGTATAAAAACATTCCAAATGAAATCAGCAGCTTACAGTTTCACGTCATGCACTTAACTCAGAAGCTGGAAGACGAAACTATCCTTTCAGTCTACAAATGGAGAAAAAATGCACCGGCCACCGTCTGGCAGAAGCAACAAAATTTGCCACGACACACAACAGTGACCGTGCCTGGCGTCCATTTTGACCGGAAGTTATACATGTTGAATTGTAGCAGGTTACAAGTGTTAAATTCTAGTGTTACAGTGTTAATATATGCCTGTGACAGTTAAAAAACCACTAAAGACCAGGAGTAAACGTACAGGACCCTTTTCACATCTTTCAGGTGTTTTAGGTATATAGGGTTATACTTTATTTTATAGACCAAACGGCACTTGGTTGGTGAAGTGGTCAGCATCACGTTTGTCGCCTTTACTTCCCAGTACTGTACCTGGTCCCCACTTAAGGCTGGGTCGATCTAGGAGCCAAGTCGTTTCCGAAAAAAAATCTGGCGATTGTCAGGAAACCACGACCTTCCGATCGCAGGCGAGTGTCTAGCCGCTGGACCACGCGACTCCCACTAAAGACTAGAACAAAAGCTAAATACATCTTCTTCGAATTCACCAGCTTTAAACTCTGGCGGAAAGTTCTGGTTGTTAGTCCACCTCTGGATTTAGACTTGTTCCGAAACCTGGGTGTTGCGTGCACATCTGTTTTAATGATCTGACATTCGTATGCAGACTGTTGGTTTCTTAGCTCTCACTCCGATTTTGAAGAAAGCTAATTAAAGGGTTCTAGCTGTGAAAGTCGTGCTTGGTTCCTCTTACTGACGTGTCATTTAGTGACTAAGTGCAGTTTTACGGTGATCCCTGTAGGTTGTCGCTGGCGCTAGAAAGTTCGTGCTCTGTGCGATCCTTTTGCCAGGCGGCTAGCTGTTGTGCGGAGAGAGATCGAACCACATGTGATAAATTCTTGTGCTCCCTGTTTGGTTCCACTGGGGGAAAAACAAGAATTGACCCAAAGCCTTCCCCAACAAGCATATAGTAAGAGTCGACTGAATAGGGACTTCTTTAGAAGTCAGAATGCATTTGCCCGAGCAGCAAGGAACCACCAACTGAAGACGAATAAGCCAATAAAACGGATGCACTCGCAAAACTCAGGCCCTGCTATAAAGTCAAAGTCCACATGGACGAACAACTAGAACTTTCTGCCGGAGCATACAGTCGTTTACCAAAGAAGAAGAAGTCCCGATGCAACGAAGTCAATCCTACGGACTTCATTTTTTGTATTTTTTAAACTTTTTTAATAAGCATTTTCCAATTGTTTAGTTCACTTAACCTGATGAGAATGCCCTGGGTATCAACAGCCACAGAGAGCCACGCTGAAGAAATATAATGAACACCGAGCAGGGGAAAGACCACGCAAGAGATTGAGCAACATCGTCAGGAGCAGCCTAACATAAATGAAAACCAACTTGTCAAATGCATTGGGGGAAAAAAAGCTCACAAACGATCCTTAAAACCGCCCACCCCCCTCAACCCACCCTTCCCCCCCCCCCCCAACACCTCGCTAAGGTAACTGGTTGAAGAGAAGAAAACAAGGAAGGAAAAAAGAAGAAGAAGAAGAAGAAGAAGAAGAAGACGAAGAAGAAGAAGAAGAAGAAGAAGAAGAAGAAGAAGAAGAAGAAGAAGAAGAAGAAGAAGAAGAAGAAGAAGAAGAAGAAGAAGAAGAAGAAGAAAAAGAAGAAGAAGAAGAAGAAGAAGAAGAAGAAGGAGAAGAAGAAGGAGAAGGAGAAGAAGAAGAAGAAGAAGAAGAAGAAGAAGAAGAAGAAGAAGAAGAAGAAGAAGAAGAAGAAGAAGAAGAAGAAGAAGAAGAAGAAGGAGGAGGAGGCTGAGGAGAAGGAGAAGGAGGAGGAGAAGGAGAAGGAGAAGGAGAAGAAGAAATTGTTCACTTATGTTTGTTTGTTTGTTTATCTGGTAAATTTTTTAGTTCCGTTATTTAATTTTTATTGTTAATCAATTTTTTTTTTTTCAATTTCCAGGTAACATTTGCAAAGGGTCACCCAGATTTCAAACAGTGGATTATGTCTTCATGTTAGCAAAGGAAGAGTAAAACTGAAACAGCAAATTTTTGAAATCAGAAGTATAATTAGAAAAGTGGATTTTACATACAAGCGTTAAATGTTATATATGAATTGGATTGCAAAATGATGAATGGATTAGCTGAAAGAAGCATCAACATAGGGAGTAAATTATTATTATTATTTTTCTACTGAAAAATTATGGTCTTTAATTGTGGATTATTTTATAAAGACTTTGGTATGATTATCATTGTGTGTTCGTAAACGAGAATGGGATTTGTATCTTGACGGTGGATACTTTAGCCGATGGGGATTTATTTTACTGATCGTGGATTATTATCTTTATGGTGGCTCTATAATTATGAAGGTGGATTATTAGGACAAAGGTGGATTGCTCTGCAGATGATGAATTTATTCTAAATAGTAAAAAATTACTGTACTGAAGTTGAATTACTGTACTGATATTTGATTATTGTGCTGAAGCTGGATTACTGTACTGATGTTGGATTACTGTACTGAAGTTGGATTTTTGTACTGATGTTGTATTATTGTACTGAAGTTGGAATATTGTACTGAAGTTGGATTACAATGCAGAAGCTGAATTACTGTACTGAAGTTAAATTACTGTACCGAAGTTGGATTACTGTACTGAAGTTGGATTACTGTACTGAAGTTGGATTACTGTACTGAAGTTGGATTACTGTACTGAATACAGATTAATCTACTGATGCTGAGTGTTTATACTGAAAGATTCGTATTTTCTTAATAAAAGATTACACTGAGTGTATCATTCCACAATGGTTAAAGTATTAATGTAAAGGTTGATTCTGACACTATCCAAAATTCCAATTTATGTAATATGGAGTTGTATTCAAAATACATACACCATTTTGAACCGGAAAAGCAGAAAGCTCTAGGATAAGATAACTCTGGTTCACCCTTGTATAACATTATGTGGCCGGTGATGCGGCAAGGCATTTGGTGATTCCAAAGAAGGTGGAGTTTATGCCGGGTGGTCTCAGATTAAAAGAAATGGATGATGAAGAATGGAAGTATGCTTCCGAAAGTCGAAAAATTCAGGAACAGTCTAACAGTTCCAGAAAGGCCCGAAAGGCTAAATCAAGTGGCCCAAAGTCAAAGAAGAAAATTTCAAAAACTCTTTTACAAAAGACTACACATTCCACAAAAGCTGCAGATGATATGGCTGTGGGTGACAGAGATGGTGTTGAAGGTGTGGAAGAGGGTGAACATGTGGATGTTTTACGTGCGTCTATAGAGGAAAACAATGTTAACAATGTCAGAGAGGAGCTTCAGAGGGATGAATCTCCGAGTAAGCACAGTCGCTCAAAGTCCCGCTCCAGGAGTGGGTCCAGAAGTCGGTTTTCCAACTTCTTCAGGCGAAAAAAGAAATGCGTGTCAGAGACTGATCTAACTCAGAATGTTACTGAAGAGGCAGATAAGAAATACGAAAGCACAGAACGTGTTGAAAATACAGACAGACCAAAAACTCTAGAATTAAGAAATGATGGAGAAGCAACGGCGAACTCCTCACAGAGAAGGAGTAATTTGAAAAGGACGTCTCCGCATCATAGCTACGATCCCAGAATTCAACCTCGAGACCGTCTGCTGCATATGACGGTTGCTGATGCAGTGAAAGAGCAGCAGTTACGACGAGCTAACTCAGCCAGTCGTTCCTCGCCACGCCGCAGGGATACATCTTCGTCCTCATCAGCAATTATGTTCTTGTCTTCCCCAAGTCTGGCCGCTGCCATGATGGCTTCTGATGCTGCCAGAAAAGCCTTCAGACCCACAACAACGTCTTCCACGTTGCCTGCAATGAGGTCAAAGACACCGTCAGCGATAAGTTCACTTGTAGTAGGCAGTAGTTTTCCAATGTCAGGGTTCAGTATGAACCTACAAGATAAGGCAGAAATAAAAACAATACAGAACGAAGCACCCCAACCTAGCATAGATAATGTTAATATAGAACACGCTAGAGCTTCTAAATCAGACAGTTTAACACATTCTATTGTAGAACCACAGAAACAACCTCGCAAAGATAACATCAATGATTTTAAAGGGGAGACAAGTACTCAAAAAATGCCTGCACAAGAACCTACCGGCGAAACTGTGCGTGATAGTTTGTCTTCACAAAAAGACCAACCACAGCCTTCACATTCAGTCTTTGTTCATCGCACTCCGGAGGAGGAAGCCTTAGAAGCTAAGACCAAACGTCAGGCTTCATTATCCCAGTTTCTGGAGCTCCGACAAACGTTACCACCAATTTTAACACGTACTCATCGACTCAGCCAATCCAGCGATTCCGGAGTGACCTCTCGAGATACATCTCCTTGTCCATATCCTGTGTACCCGGAAGTAAAACGACAGCAGGATCAACATACATCACCTCCTTCTCAAGATTCTCAACTAAAGGACAAAGCACCAAACCCATATGTGGTAAGCAGCATTTCTGTCTCCCCAGCAACCGTTACCAGTCATAGTCAGAGTGTGAGTGGCGAGAAAATTGAAACTGGCCCCAAAGAAAATGAGATAAACAGACCACAAGTGCTGAAGCTAGAAGACAGTATGGCTGAGTCTAGTTCCATGTCCTCCAGCCCTCAGGTTAACTCTATGACCTCGTCGTTCCGCTCCTCTGATCAGGGTTATGCTGAAACTGACAGCGATGACGAGTCTCCATTTGCCACACCTCCTGAGGATTTTGAATTGACGAGCTCAGGGAAGAGAGAAAAAAGTCGAACATTTAATCCGAGTATACTAGAGAAGCTTCTGGACACTGCGCGAGAACAGCTTCCAAGGGAACCAGGTCAGAAGCCAGATCATACATCTTCGGAGACTAAGCAACAACTTCTTGACCGCAAATTTAACATTTTACATGACAATCAGTCTACACAAGAACTGCACCCAGGAGAAGAAAGAGGTGAGACCAAATTAAGATACATACCTCGAGGCGTAAGGAGGTCACAAAGTGATGCTGAGAGTCGACACAAAACATCCAGACGTTTCTATAAACGAACATGTAAACCTGATAGAGGTCCACAAAGGATAGGATCAGCCGAGGGCTTCTCGACGTCCCCAAATCTCGGTCGAGAGAAGGTCTCGTTTGACTTGGACAAGCAGTTAACGCCAAGTACAGTAACGCTGACCAATTCAGACGGATTTGACGTGGACTTCCTCACTGTGGAGCGAAATGACCAAAAGCTGGTTCCTGTCATGGGAACGGTGGCTCAGCAAAAGTACAGAAGAACCTATTCCCCATCCAGAGTAAGAAAAATTATTCCTGTTTCGAAAGATGACAGCGGTACAACACCTTTTTTTAACACGACCGCCGCTCTTGTACAATCCCCTGTTAAGGAAGTCATTTCATCTGTCAGCGCAACTTCCATGGAACAACATCCCAAGAGTGATCTTCCAGAGAAACCCTCAAATCTTCCATTGAAAAAACCTGAGCTATCCCCTACAATGCCTAAAAGGGGAATACTGAAGTCACCATTGAAAGATAAAGTCAGTGTGTCTACGGAGGACAAGGAGAATCTACAACAACCTGATAGTAATGATAAACCTTCATTGAAACCAGAACCCAGCCAAGTAAATGAACAAGAAACACAAGACATAGGAGAAGCCATAGATAAATCACAGAAGATAGTGGAAGCGAAGACGAAAGAAGAAATCAGAGATGACAGAATATCAGAAATCGACATCAGTGAGGAAAAAACATCAAAAGGTGAAACCAAAAAGGACAAAAAGTTGAAAAAGCAAAAACGAAAAGAAAAATTGCCCAAATCAGACACCACCACACGAACATCTCCAAAAGAAGACATTGCTATGCCAACTCCAACAGTGCAAATCACATTTGAAAACGCCGCAAGCATAGAAACACCAAACAATTCTCTCGGGAAGGATTTCGTCCCTCAGACAGCAGCTGCTAAACATTCGGATGAGGCTGCTCTATCAAAACCACGTATTGAGAAATCAAACTCTGCAAGCGATATCATCATTCACTCCCGGACACAAGGCATTTCTGGAGAACCATCAGAGCCGCTTACTGGCTCAGAGAAGAAACTGAGTATAGACTTCCCTATGATACACGGACTAGAGGTTGGTATGCATAAAGTTCACTCATTTAGTGGCTACTCGCTAGGTGACTACCTCAAAGAACAGTCCAAATCCAACTGGATGCAACAAAACATCTGCCCAAAATCGCAGGAAGTCAAAGCTGCGAAGTCGGTGCTCAAGAAGAAATCTAGTCCAAGCGTCGAAGTTAGAAAACAACCAAATGATATTAGAACAGACAAAAAGGAATTTCATGAACAAATTTCCAAGCCAACAAACGACGTCCTTGTTACAGAATCCAAAGGAAAAGATAGCCAAAGTTGTACTCTAAAAATAATGGTTGATAAAGAATGCCAAACTTCAGCCTGGCTCATCAACACGTTAATAAGAAAAAAGTCGTCCAAATCCAAAAAGAAAGGTACCAGCTTCTATAAAAAGAAGAAACAGCAGCAGCAAAGAAGAGGTAGTTCTGTCAGTGACACCTTTGTGCCACTAGACTTGAAACGACACAAGGAATCATTTCAACATTCATCTCTAGGCGATATACGACTAGCCTCCTCAAAAGAGCCTAGCTTCACAAATCGGTTAGTCAGGGGATCTTCAGAGAAGGCCCCACGCCACCGGGTGGATAAATTAAGCAACTTAACCCCTACTGCAGGTTCCAGCAGTAAATCTCGCTCAGACAACAAAAACGATGATTCTGACCTACCTAAGCCCAAAAAGCTTTCACTAAGCTCGGTGATTCTCCTAAAAAACCGACTGGCCAAATACAGGGAGAAGAAACGAACAGATAAACCCTCACTGGAAACTGTAGAGGACGAACCAGGATTAGATAGGGTCTCTTCTGAGACTCTTATCACTATGGAAAACGAACTGAACCTTAGTAAGCTAGAGGTCAGCAAGGAAACTGACATCATTGATGACGATATTTACGAACCGGAATTCTCCTTGGGTTACAAAAGAAAGCATCTCAGGTTTGAAGATCTGCCTAGTGAACCAATGCAGAGTCAGGAACCGCTACCACCTCTACCAACATCTCGTCGAATGCGACAAAGACGTGAGAGCACACTCAGGGAGAGGAAACGGAAGTGCGTTCAGTATTGCAAGAAGTTTATTGCGTTCCTCTTCTCTCACGTGGGGTTGTGTTCCTTGGTCGTCGCCTACACTATTCTTGGAGGATTTATATTTCAAGCTTTGGAGAACCAAGCCGAGTACAATGTCCGGAGTTCGATACGTGTAAGTACAACACGTTACTTGTCTAGTTTTTTGTTATTATCTTAATAACAATCATAATTTTGTTTGTATCATTGTAAAAATAAAAGTAAAGTAAAGGACCATTTTCGACGCCTTTAGGCGTATGGGGCATATAGGGCTACACCTATATTTTATAGACCAATCAACACAAGATGGGTGATGTGGTCAGCAACACACCGGCCGCTTTTACTTTGCAGGACTGCACCCGGACTGCAAAGGTCATTGTTGACAAAAGTCCGGCTCCGCCAGGGAGCGACCCCACGACCTTCTAATCTGCGGCGAGCGTCTAGCCGCTCCGCCACGGCGACCCCCCATCCTCGTTGTGTACATCAGCTGCTTCATTGTTGTCAACATAATCTTTGTTATCGTTATCAGGAAAAGATATAAAACTGCATGAAAATTATATCAGCGAGCTTTACAATATAACAAACACAAACAAAACGTGAACGTTGCGACTATGACGCCTTTTTCAGCACGTACATAGAATAGACAAATATACAATATCCCTTATCTTCGTATCTCGTGGCAGCCAGGTCGAAGTCAAGACAATAGTCTGGCCAGGCAATGGTGAACAGTATAAACGAGTGTGACGGGCACAAACAGTAGCAGTTCTGGGCGGGCGGGACACACGAGGTATGTGAAATTAATTAACTGCTGTGAAACTAAAAAATATCAGAAAAGATATAAAACCGAACGAAAAGTATTATCAGCGATCTTCACAATATAACAAACACAAACAAAACGTGAACGTTGCTGCTATGGAGATATTCTTCGTTATCATTATCATCATTACTGTTTGAGGAGAATGGCTCTACGGGGAGTCGCCAGGGAAACCCATCGACGCCCAACACTCAATAGAAAGGTGAAACGGATGTACAATCAGTTACTGGTACTATCAGAATTTGAACTCCTCGCTTGTTGGTGAAGATAGGGACGGAGCGCTTATATGAGTGTACCGATTGCTATGATGTCGTTTCTTAATTTAACAGCATTCACCGACAACTGACACTATTACAACCACCAGTGTCATTACGGATGTCCATCAAACAGGCAAATACAGAACACCCGGTTCTGTCTCCAACAAGCAGCTAACTTCTGCTTTGAGATTAGTGAGTGAGTTTGCTTCACATTGAAGGGTATCATCAAGTCACTTGCTGACTGGTGTGGGCGATCATGCTTCTCCACAATCTGCAGTCTGCAGCTGCGTGTGTCAGTTCGCGCGCTGACACCCCTCCATGTCATGACAAAAGACTGTCGCGAATCTTCTCGCACTGTGTTTAGGTATCTTCGAGCATTCACCTCTTTCAAAACACGGGAGCTGCTCTTTTTAGCTGTCCAAAGAATTCTACAGATTTTTCTGTAAAGCCAATGGCTAAGGCGTGAAGATATTGTTAGCCATGTTTATTAATTGTCTAGGATTCACAGACGTATGTTATAACCGGCTCTATGTAGCATTCAAGAATTATTTTCCTTATCTCTAATGACATGGATTGACTGCACAGTATTTTCTTCATTTTATAAAAGGTGGCTACAAAAGATCAGGACATACCAGAGTTAATTTCTTTGACAGGGAAATTAAGAAAAAATTATATTTGAGCAGAAATAAGTTTATCTGTGCACACATGAATGACATTTAAGTAGACATCTGCTTGTCTGTACACACATGAATGACATTTGAGTAGACATCAGCTTGTCTGTACACACATGATTGACATTTGAGTAGATATCAGCTTGTCTGTACACACATGAATGACATTTGAGTAGATATCAGCTTGTCTGTACACACATGAATGACATTTGAGTAGACATCAGCTTGTCTGTACACACATGAATGACATTTGAGTAGACATCAGCTTGTCTGTACACACATGAATGACATGTGAGTAGGCATCGCTTGACTGTACACACATGAATGACATATGAGTAGACATCAGCTTGTCTGTACACACATGAATGACATGTGAGTAGACATCAGCTTGACTGTACACACATGAATGACATTTGAGTAGACATCAGCTTGACTGTACACACATGAATGACATTTGAGTAGACATCAGCGTGTCTGTACACACATGAATGACATGTGAGTAGTCATCATCTTGTCTGTACACACATGAATGACATATGAGTAGACATCAGCTTGTCTGTACACACATGAATGACATGTGAGTAGACATCAGCTTGTCTGTACACACATGAATGACATGTGAGTAGACATCAGCTTGTCTGTACACACATGAATGACATGTGAGTAGACATCAGCTTGTCTGTACAAACATGAATGACATATGAGTAGACATCAGCTTGTCTGTACACACATGAATGACATGTGAGTAGACATCAGCTTGTCTGTACACACATGAATGACATGTGAGTAGACATCAGCTTGTCTGTACACACATGAATGACATGTGAGTAGACATCAGCTTGTCTGTACACACATGAATGACATGTGAGTAGACATCAGCTTGTCTGTACACACATGAATGACATATGAGTAGACATCAGCTTGTCTGTACACACATGAATGACATGTGAGTAGACATCAGCTTGTCTGTACACACATGAATGACATGTGAGTAGACATCAGCTTGTCTGTACACACATGAATGACATGTGAGTAGAGATCAGCTTGTCTGTACACACATGAATGACATGTGAGTAGACATCAGCTTGTCTGTACACACATGAATGACATGTGAGTAGACATCAGCTTGTCTGTACAAACATGAATGACATGTGAGTAGACATCAGCTTGTCTGTACACACATGAATGACATGTATAAAGAAAATGTAGTTAACTGAGTAAAGGAGCCTTGACATGCCAATCTCTGGTCTCTATGAAGATTGTGATGAGACGCATGTCTTCTAATGTTCACTACTGCTTTGTTTTCATTGGAATACTAACCTGCTAAATGTGGTCTAAACCTCTATTGGAAAAGAACTTTAAAATCCCTTAAAGCCAGTTTTGTTCAATTAACGCCTGTGCTAGACTAACTGCCAAAGTCTTTCCGATAAACTCTTTTCGCTCTGGTCGTGCAGGTAGGCCCCAGTATCTGTTGTAACTTTGTAACGTCTTGTCCGAATGTCCGATAAGCGCAGCAAGAAATGTAAGGCTTTCGTGTGGCTGGGATCACAAGACTATTCCCGCGTGTGTGTGCTGAGTGATTCTTTAAGCATGATCGGACGGGTCGAGGCAGGCTGGTTACGCAGACAGTGGTTTGAGTCATTGCATAATTCTCCTGTGTGCAGTTACTTTCATATACGTCCCAGTGCATGCAGGCGTTGTTGGTAATGAGAGAGCTGATAGACAGGCAGGTACTGCATTAATTGAAGATGGCCGGCCCATGGATCACGCAGACATTGTCATTGCCCTTAAAGAGATAAGACGTTCTTAGGATTTTGGAAGCAACGTGTCCACATCACTTCTAAGAATTCGTGAATTGGGAGTAAAGATCGGCACAGCCAAGCAAGAGAAGCACATTGGAAGCACACGAAGTCTTGTTAACCAACATAGGACTGGCACTATCAACCGCACGACGCTGATATATATGTTGATGTGTCTGGAGTGCTGTGAAGATAATCTAACTCGTAACACATAACAAGAGATGTCCAAGACCCGGGTGGAAACGCAGCGCCTCCCACCCCCTTCCCCGAGATTGTCTATGAGATAAACGGACCGAAACAAATGTTGCAAGGGGAACACCTATTGAAGATCGATAAGCTCCTGCATGTATGTGGCACTTTTTAAGCAGTCCGTAGTGCATGTGCAAATGGGCAAAGTTGAGTCCTCAATGTTGAATTTCTTGTACATTCGGCTGCAGAGTCTGTTGGGTCCACGAGTATGTTTCTTGCATTTGGTGGTGCTGATTGTGTCTTTAAGGTTAGCGGGGTAGGGGTATCCCCTATCAAAGGAGAAGTAAGACGCCTCCTTTCCTCCGCTAGTCTACGGGACACCCTTGGGCAAGGTGGAGTACCCGTTTAGCCCCCCAATCAGGGTTACGTGAAGCCATGGAAGCAGGTGGTGGATGGAGTGTAAGAGCAGCCGACAGGTATTGTTGGTTATGGTCTGCACTCTGCGGCGATAGGCAGATGATCTCATCAGTAGAGACAATGGCTATGGCCACCGACTAGTATAGTCACTGCTCAGGAGGAAAGGAACGGCAAACTACCTTCTGCAAATTTTGCCAAGAATCCATAACAATCATGAAAGAATGGTGTATCAGACGCAGGACATCTTGCTCATGATAGGAAGGTTTTCCGGAGGGTTGTTATGGCAGCGAGGTTCCGCGAGGGACATGCTACTGAATGAATGAATGAATGATTGTGTCTTAACTTGGATAAGAAGTGTTCCGATGGGCTCTGAGGAATGCCTTGATCTGTGTTTTATTCTCCTCATATGTGCATCCTGTATCTGATTGTTCTTGATTTCCAATTTTTGCTGAATGGATCTGAGAGAGCCCTATCGCTTAAACATAATGGAGGCAATTCAACTAGAGGACGACCACGCACACGATTTATGGATGGAATATCTGAGGCTGTAAATGCTAGAATCTGTATAGCACATAGCTAGCCGCACACCTGATGCCTTTATTTTTGCGTGTCTATCTTTCTAGTTCAGCTTCCTATGCTCGGACTTTATGGGTATAAATGCGATAAACATCTGGTGACACAAAGTGACACCATTCTGACGAGGATCACCCGGGGAGAAGTCCCAGAAGCTTTGTTCAAGCCGTAGGGTTTATAATTTGGATCCCCGACAACGGCAAGGGTGGCTTCAAATAACAGACATTTTAAGGGCGCTCAACCCTACAAGGACGAGGGATAAACACTCGGTGTCACAATCTGGATGTAATTCATCCGGATACAAGTCCCAGAAATACCCCGTTCAACGTTTGGGTTAATATTAGATCCACCGAAGCCCACCGGGGTGGAGCTTCTAAATTGTCGAAAGTATTGTAGTAGTACATTTTACCCCACTA